TCCATGACTATGGTCATTGTTAAAATTGTTGTTTAAATGAAATTTGAATTTCTTGTCAACTATGTATTTGGAGCACCCGTTTTTGATATGTGTATTCTTTTTTTTTACGCTATTTCATTCTTTAAGATAAATTATTTTGGATGAGGAAACGAGTCTAGCTCTTTGGATTAGGTTATCGATGACGGCAGTTTTATATTTTTCAGGGCATTCACTGTTGTATTTTACAAAGCAAAAGTCAGAACTAGTAGACCTTTTGTACAGAGATGTGATAGTCAATGAGAATATCTGTTTTTTATCAGTGCATACAATGTGCCCCTTCGTATTTAGCTTAGGACAAAAGGCGTCCGGTTATCTTGTCAACATCCCTTATTGAAGAAGTCCCCCTCTCAGTCGATGGCTAGCTTTTGTAGATAACAATATTTTCTTTAAAGGTTACCAGCTCCGGTTTAGTTACTTTTGATAAAGTATCTGTGAAAGGGCGCGTCATCCGGTGGGATCAATAATTTGATCAAGGTCAGCACGCTCAAACCCTCGGTGATGATGACTTGTGACTTCGTGTTTGCGCAACCATCGACGGCCTCCGAACAGTTCCGTCTATAACCAATTTCACTCAAAAAGCTTGGGTCGACCAGTGGGATAGTTTACACTGGGATCGCTGATAACATCAATAAGTCACCTGCTTGTCAAATTGACCACAGAGAGATCCGAACACGGGTCTCATGCCCAGAAAGCGAACTGGGTCTGCCTGCTTGCCTGCCTACCTACCTACATACATACAGGTACATTTGTGTTTGTTCGAACACCCACAGAGCCCACCTGTGGTTTTTACTGCAACTATGCTGAGCGGACCTTAGTTACTGTTTCTGGGAAAGAGCGTGTTATCTAGCGAGATCAACAGTATGAACAAACCCTCGATCATGATGACTTGTAACTTCGTGATAAGATAACCATAGATGACCCCCAAGGAATTCTGTCTAATTTCCCTCATCCAGCTTGGATCAACCCGTGGCATGGTTTTTAGGCGCATTCTACACGCTGGAATTGCCTCTCCAAGACTGATAGCATAAAGAAGTCACGTTCCTGACCATGGTGATATTCGAACTCTGGCCTCATGCTCAGAAAGCGAAAGTTCTCACTACAGGGCTACACATCTGCCTGCCTGTCTGCCTTACATACATACATACATACATACATACATACATACATACATACATACATACATAGTTATATTTGTGTTTGTTCAAAACCCACAGAGCCCACCTTTGGTTTGTACTGGAACTATGCAGAGCTGACCTTAGTTACAATTTCTGGGAGAGAGCGTGTGATCCACCGTGATCAACAATCTGAACAAGGCCTTCACGCTCAAACCCCGATGACCATTTCCACTCACCGGGCTTGGGTCAACCGTGGTATGGTTTTCAGGTACTTTCCAAAGGTGCCGCACGCTGGGATCGTCCCACCCCCAGACCGATAACATCGAGGAGTCACCTTCCAGACAAATCGACCATGCTGACATTCAAACCCGGGTCATATGGCCAGAAAGCGAACATTCGAACCCCTCAGCCGTACCAACATACGTTTTAAAGTCAATAATTGGCTCGATGATTGTTTCCGAGTATGGCTATGTCCTAATACCTGTTACAATCTCCGATTCAAGCAAATTTGTGTTTTTTCAACACCCACAGAGCCGACCTGTAGTTTATACTGCAACTAAGCTTAGCAGACATGAACAAAGCTGAAATGCTCAGTCACGATGACTCGTGGCTTCGTGCTAGCCTAATTATCGACGCATTCCGAATAATTCCGTCTATACAATTTCACTTACAAGGCTTGAATCAACCCGTGGTACGCTTTTTAAACACTTCCAACCTGTGTCGTACACTGAAGTTCTTCTCCCTACGCCGAACTTATCAAGAAGTTACTAATAGACCCTGGTAAGATTCGAACCCGGGTTTTATAGTCTGAAAGCTAACGTTCAAACCATATATGCACTACCACTCACACACATATTTATGCCGACTCTCTATACCAGTACAACTGCCTGCTAATCACAGTACCTAATAATACTGGCCTTGTGCCAAAACTAAGCCAAGCTTAGTAAATAACAACAAAGTTGCAGAGCGAAGTTGACAGGTAACTCAAAAAGCGTTTCGCGTTTAAAGTTCAGATGTTCATGGATCCGTTAAAACAAATTCATTTTATTTCACGATTTTTAATTACTGTTTCTTTTCTCCCCACATAATTCCCCTTCCTCGTCTTATTTCTCTTCATTTCTAGAAATCTTTTTTTTTTTTGTTTTCATTACCATCTCTAACTTGACAATGTACAATGACCCCCCTCCCACCACTTTCGCTGGAGACGAATAATTTCAATTTAATCTTCCTATGAAAGAAAATTACTGAATTCATGTTATGAAAAAGGTTGGGAAACGAGTATGTAATATCAGATTTTCGCATATTTTGTTATAATTGTGCTTGTCCCTCACTTCGTTAGTTAGCACGACCGTTCCGTCCTGTCAGTACGTCATAAATAGTGGACTATTCCGCGTTGTGATCGCGTAGAAAGAGGGGACAAGACACTAATCGGCTTCAAGTGAGACGCAAAGGAGGATCAGATTAAGCTGACAAGAACAGATAATACACTTTGATCTTAGCCCAGAAGCGAGTATTTTTCAGTGCGCCCACGTCGCTACCGAATGTGACACAAGGTCAGTTTAAAGTGAGTTCAACGGCAATACCGTGGAAGAAGTGTCCAAGCCCCATCAGCACTTCCCCTTTGACGACGTCTCATGCGCCGCTGGGTAATAAACCAGCGAAACTTCTTCTTCTTCTCATTCTTCTTCTTCTTATTATTATTATTATTATTAGTAGTAGTAGTAGTAGTAGTAGTAGTAGTAGTAGTAGTAGTAGTCATCTTCTTCATCTATTCTCCGTGTCCCTTTAGGACGTTGATTCACCAATTTATACAAGCTTCTTAGGTAGATTACTATATTCTCTCTCTCTCTCTCTCTCTCTCTCTCTCTCTCTCTCTCTCTCTCTCTCTCGTTATGTTGTCTTCAGGATATCCTGTCAGCGTCAAACTCATCAAGCTTTCTTTCCTCAGTATGTATCTCATATTCACTTACGCGCAGATAACCTTGGGAATGATATGATTCCTTCTCTTCTCCTAGCTATAGGTTAAATAGTAAAATTACATCTGGAGAAATAATTTTTGTTATCAAAACATTGTTAACACAAAAAAAATCATTCTTACAACGCAAAATATGTTTCGACAAAGGGGTTGATAAGTCGTAAAAAACATATTAATCAATCAACGTTGAGTTTCTGAAAATTAAAGAATTGCTGATTCTTTAAGTTGATATTATGGTTAGGTAGCTGGGTTTTTTTTTAAGTTTTCTTGGTAGGAATATGTAAGGATATGGCTTTTTAGTGACAATGTATCAAGTATGCAGAATCTTTGCTACGATCACTTGAGCAAGCAGTGAACCAGGTAGGTTCCTATTGTAACGAAAGTAAGACAAAATACTTCACAACCTCCCCTGAACCATCCGAGTTGAAGGCACTCAATAATAACAGGCGTTTTTGTGGGCGAGTTATTTGTCAATAAAAATTGCTGTTTTGTTTACTTTTTTAAAATAAAAATCTTATTTTATTTTCGGGTTATAAAAATGTGTGTCGATAATCATTCACTCCGGCATGATCATTTAAAACTGTTATTGTTGAATTATGTTTCCTTTTTCATAATAAATATTGTTTAAAAAAACGCCTGAGAATTATGCACCAACCCAATATATTAAACTTTTGATAAAAAGAAGCAAGAAGATAAACATTTTAAAGTCGAAATTTCCTAACACGCCTGTGTTCTTTTTTAACGATAAGAGGAATAAACAAAGAAGTAGAACTTACTCTTTTGAGGAATGTTTTTGGTTAGAGAGATCCCTGTAGAAATTATACTCTCTGTATAAACCAAAATCCTTGTTTAATACCGCAATGTTTGAATTTATTTTGAAAATAAATTTTAACTCCGATCTCCATCTTTGTTCTCGGCACAAAACCTGATGTCATCGGAGCTGTGATATGGTTGGTTGAGGTGGACAGCGACGGTAAACAATTGTTGTTGTTGTCCCTGATGGTTTTCTTATGGTTATTAAAGTCGGAATTCCGTTCCCGGCGGCATATGATATATATATACATATATATATATATATATATATATATATATATATATATATATATATATATATATAGTAAAGGTAATAAATCCGTTAGTATGTAATCCAAGTGGATCCTGGTAATATAAAATATTAAAACTGATCCGCAGAAAAAGAGCTCACTGTATTTATTATAGAGAGCAAATAAATAGTAGTAAACCATAAAATCCAATATTACCTATATGAAGTATAGACTTATTTCAACCGACGAAAACTTGTAATATATATATATATATATATATATATATATATATATATATAAGGAGGAAGCAGTTTCGAATCCTGCCGGACGGCACATTTTCATTAATAAGTTTTCTCAAGTATGCAGGCTAGTAGACGAAATAAATACTGTTTAAAATAAAACAGAGCTTCTAATCAAATACGGGTATCCACTAAAAGTAAATTTGAAATTATAAATATATATATATATATATATATATATGTGTGTGTGTGTGTGTGTGTGTGTGTGTGTGTGTGTGTGCGTGTGTGTGGGGGGAGCTCAAGTTTACAATTCGTAGTAAAGCACATCCGGAAATTTTCACACTTGGTCTTAAGGCGGGTCAAGCAGTCCTTGTGTCCGAATTTCCCTTCCTCTTAACGAACAAAGCCATCCATTAAACGACTATTTCCGCTCAGTTTGACTCGACACCACTTGCCAAAATGATCTTCATTTTTGACCCACAGGCACTTTGCCCGAACTTTTGCTGACACATCATCTGAACAGTCGCTTTTGCAAATACAGTGTCTCGAATTGATAGCCAACCTCATGATATTCATTCAATTATCAGAGTTAGTGGTTCCAGACAAGGCCAGGCTGATAGATAGATAGATAGATAGATAGATAGATAGATAGATAGATAGAGAGAGTTAATGGAGAGAGATAGAGAGAGACAGTTAATAATACCGAGAAATAGATAGAGATAGATAGATGATAGATAGATAGATAATGAAAAAAATGAGATAGATAGATAGAGATAGATAGATAGATAGATAGATAGAGACAGTTAATGGAAATACCGAGATAGATAGATAGATAGATAGATAGATAGATAGATAGATAGATAGATAGAGAGAGAGAGACAGTTAATGGAAATACCGAGATAGATAGATAGATAGATAGATAGATAGATAGATAGAGAGAGATAGATAATAATGAGATAGATAGATAGATAGATAGATAATGAAAAGAGACAGTTAAGATAGATAGATAGATAGATAGATAGATAGATAATGAAAAACTAGAGAGAGATAGATAGATAGATAGATAGATAGATAGATAGATAGATAGAGTGACAGTTAATGGAAATACTGAGATAGATAGAGATAGATAGATAGATAGATAGATAGATAGATAGATAGATAGATAGATAGATAGATAGATATAGATAGATAGATAGATAGTTAATGACAGTTAATGGAAATACTGAGATAGATAGATAGATAGATAGATAATAGATAATGAAAACTGAGATGAGATAGATAGATAGATAGATAGATAGATAGATAGATAGATAGATAGATAGAGACAGACAGTTAATGGAAATAGATAGATAGATAGAGAGAGATAGATATAGATAGATAGATAGATAGAGATAGAGATAGAGACAGATGGAAATACTGAGATAATGAAAAAATGAGATAGATAGATAGATAGATAGATAGATAAGAAATAGATAGATAGATAGATAGATAGATATAATGAAAAGACTGAGATAGATAGATAGATAGATAGATAGATAGATAGATAGATAGATAGATAGATAGATAGATAGATAGATAGATAGTTGAAGAATGACTCGGGTTTGCATTTGAACTAATTCCCTATAGTCGTTTCAACGTCGACAGCTGAGAAAAAGTTATAACATTTAAATATTTCTATCATTTCTGGGAACAAACAAAACATCTTGTAGCGTCGAATCTTTTGTGGAAAACAAACAAACAAAACCTTCGCGCCTTTATTGACAGTTTGTTGACTGCAAATGCGGGCAATAATTGCCGAGAACTCTGAAAAGCCGTTCAAACATTTTCCTCCACAATTAGCGGCGATCCGCATTGGAAAACCTTACAAAATTCGTCCAAAACCCTTTGCATTGATACGGCCTATATGATCAACTTCAATAGGAAGAAATATATTAGTATTTGCATCGATTATGCAACGTTTGTATTTTATCAAGATTGCAGTTTGAAAGTTCGAAATATATCAGGTCATCCCATAAGTTCTGTCCGAATTTTGAATAAAGAAAACAAGTGACCAAATGTTACATTTAATTACAGATTCAATCAACAATGTATTTTCCCTGATTATCTAGGACTTCCTTCCATCTATTAACAAGCTTACTAATTCCATTGCTGTAAAATTCTTTTGGCTTTGATTCGAAGAACTCACAAATATCAGTTTTAACCTCTTCCTGTGTTACAAAAGCTGTTTCTTCCAAATGATTCTGTAAGCTACGAAACAAATGGTAGTCTGAAGGAGCAAGACCGGGAGAATAAGGTGGATGAGGAATTTTCTCCCAACCAAGTTCTTCGATCTTTTGTGATTCTTGCTGTGTGGGGTCGCGCATTGTCCTGATGAAACATCACCCCTTTTCGATTCACTAGAGCAGGTCTTTTTTTCCTCAAAGCTTGGTTCAAACCCTCTAATTGCTGACAGTATATTTGAGCATTAATTGTTACATTAGGTGGTAAGAATTCAAAGTGTATTATTCCTTGGCGATCCCACCAGATTGAAAGAAGAACCTTTTGCCCATGAAGTTCCCTTTTCGGTTGTGGCTAGGGTACTTCCCCTTTACCAAGCCACTGCTTACGACGCTTAACATTTTGATAAAAGATCCATTTTTCGTCGCCAGTCATAAGTCTATCCAAAAAAGGTGAAACAAGACGAAAATGGAGAGAAGAGCAGATGTCAACTCGGAATTTGAGGTTGTTTTCAGACAATTCATGAGGCACTCATTTTCCAAGTTTAGGAACTTTTCCAAGTTGTTGAAGATGACGATAAAAAGTTGTATGGTTTGAACTGAAAACCACAGCCAACTCCTAAACTGATAAAGCAGGATTTTCTTCAAGGTCTGCTTCAAGAAGCTTTCCATCAGTTTTCAAACTCAACAGGGCGTCCGGTTCGATCTTCATCTTCAAGGGTGAAATCTCCACCTCTGAATTTTGCAAACCATCTTCTGCAAGTTCTTTCATTCACACATTCCTCTCCATAAACTGAGTGAATGTTTCTAGCCGCTTCGGCTGCTGAGTTTCCTTTCGTGAACTCATAAAGCATTATGTGCCTCAAATGATTTTGGGGTACCTCCATGTTTTGCAGGGTTTTAATCAAACAAAATTTAATTTTATTGTTCTCTGAAATAAAATTTGATCAGTTTAAATGCATCTAAACATAAAAATAAAGTTCTGCTCCATTAGACATTATAAAATACTCTGCAAATTTCGTTCATTTAAAAAAAAAGGTAAAATTCGGACAGAACTTATGGGATGACCTGATATTTTCAATTTTGAATTTTAAAAATTAAAAATTATTGTTTTTCAGCATGTGAATTATAACACTTTTCCTTCATTACAATTTTCAGTTTACATATAAAAATATTCAATATTTTCAAGAAAGTTAATAACCCTCACTTTCATTGACAATGCCTTGAAAAACGATGCTAGTAACATTCCATCATCTACGATTTGACGCAGAACCCAACAATCAGGATTAACGGAAATTCCGTGCCTTGAGCGCCTATCGAGGTTTAAACTCTCAAGTGGAACTCGTCCACACGACCCATCGCTAAAGAGCCTTCGACGAAAACCGACCAGTTTAAACATTGACGCCTGTACGGTTTCCAGTAAGCATTTTTTCATTCCTTGTGAAATGTAAATGCCCCTCCACTTCTTCCCAAGAAGCCAGATCTGTGGAACTGACTTCAAAAGGATTACCATTCACCACATATGGACAGGAGCTGAAATGGTTTTCCAGAACTTTATTATTTTTCATTTTGTCGATGTTAGCATCAGTTGTACTATGTTTGTAGTTTTTTTTATTCTGCATATTGTAAATTTTAAATATTTTAATTTTGAATATTGAACTGCTAAATATATAATTTTCATTTTGTCGATGTTAATCACTAGTTGGATTTATTCCTGTATACATATTGAACTGCATATCTGTACCATGGGAATGTAAATTTATAAGTAAACTACATATTGAACTGCATATGTAAATTTATAAGTAAACTACATATTGAACGGCATATGTAGATTTACAAGTAAACTATATATTGAACTGCATATGTAAATTTAAAAGTAAACTGTATATTGAATTGCATATTTAAATTCATAAGTAAACTACATATTGAACGGCATATGTAAATTTACAAGTAAACTGCATATTGAACTGCATATGTAAATTTATAAGTAAACTACATATTGAACGGCATATGTAGATTTACAAGTAAACTATATATTGAACGGTATATGTAAATTTACAAGTAAACTGTATATTGAACTGTATATGTAAATTTACAATTAAACTGCATATAGAACTGCATATGCAAATTTACAAGTAAATCCTTTTCACATTCCAACTATGACAGCCGAATTTTCAAAAAAGAAATCATTATTGTTTTATTTCAGTCGATATTAGTATAAACTATGCCAGGTTTGTCGATAATCTTTTAAATTTGGAAATAAAAATGGTCACTTTGAATACATCACGACAGAATATCCGATATAGAAATTAATATTTTTTATTTCCGTCAACATATTCATCAATTACGTAATGTTTGTAGTTGATCGGAAGTGAATTTAAATTTACAAATAAATATTTCCGGTTTTGAATTATTACAACATTTCCAAAGTTAAAAATCACTACTACTACACGTGAAAATTTTACGATTTTCATATTCGATATTTCTGATGAATCATAATTTATAATAAGCTAATGATTGAATAAACTTCTCGCGAGTTTCCCGACTATAAAATTCAATTGAAAATTCACCTATTGCATCGTTAAATGTATGGTGGCAATAAAGTCACTTTGTAATTAAAAAAAAATATATTACGACAAATATGTAGAAATTGTTACAAAATGAAAAGATATTGAAGTTTTTTAACATTTTAATGCACTTCTATATAGACACCATTAGTTGCACGAAGCACATCAAGACGGTACGCGATTTCTTGCCATGATCGCTGAAGCATAGCCTCATCAATGGTGGCAATGGCATCAGTGATCTCTTATTTTAGATCAGTGATGTCCCGTATCTTTATTCGATACAGATAATCCCATAGAAAGAAGTCCAGGGGAGTGATACCTAGTGGTTGAGGTGACCAGGGAATTGGGCCAGCCCTTCTAATCCACCGGTCTGGAAATGTTTGATTTAAGAACCCACAAACATGTAGTCTCCCAATGTGGTGGTGCACCATCTTGCTGGGAAATGATGGTTGGTTGAAGGTCATCTAAATGTGGTGCCGCAACAGCTGCCTTTGTAATATATTTTTTAGATTGTAAAGAGAAATTATGGACACCCTATTAAATAATATTATATTAATTCAAAATTATCTTTACTGAATACACGTATTTGAGTAGGCGTACCGTATTTTTTTTTTTTTTAGATTTTTTTTTTTCGTCTACAAATCTGTGCACTCGAGGAAACTAAATATAGAAAATGTGTCTCCCGACAAGTTTCAAACATGCGTCTCCATTTCCAGGAGAAACAATCGTCTTATCTGGCGTACCTTGGGAGAAAGACAGAGAGACGGGGAGAGAAAGAGAGAGAGAGAGAGAGTATCAAAAACACATTTATAAAATCGGCGAGAAACAATTCAACTATTATATATAATATTATACAGGGTGTCCATAAAGTCTCTTTACAATTTGAAAAAAAAATCATTAGAAAAGCGAAAAGACAAATATATGGAAATTATTACAAAATGAGGAGAGGATATTGATTTTTTAAAAGATTAATTTAATACATCTCTATATAGGCACAATTAGTTGCATGAATCACATTAAGATGGTGTTCGAGTTCTTGTCATGTTCGTTGTCGCATAGTCTCATCAATGGCGTCAATGGCATCTGTGATCTTTTGTTTAGATCAGAGATGCCTCGTTCGATACACGATATCTTTAACATAACCACATAGAAAGGAATTCAGTGGATTGATATCCGGTGAACGTGGTGACCAGGGAATTGGGCCAGCCCTTCTAATACACCGGTCTGGAAATGTTTGATTTAGGAACCCACAAACATGCAGTCCCCCAATGTGGTGGTGCAGCATCTTGCTGGAAAATGATGTTTGGTAGAAGGTCATCTAGTTGTGGTGCCGCATCAACTGACTTTGTAACAAATTGTGAAGTACCACATCAACTGCCTTTGTAATTTAAATTGTGAAGAAACGTTATGGACATTCTCTATTTGAGCTTAACAAAATGAACAATCATAAATAGGAATGCGGGTCATTAGTTAAAGAAGTAAGAGGGTACAAATAAAAAATATTCAAAATTGAAAAGTTTATACAGAATGATGCTGAAATGGAGAAAAGAGGATAAAAGTAATAGCCGTTAACATTTGGTGGCTGACATAGGGAAAGAAAAGCCATATTGTTTATCTGAAAGAAGGCCATGTCCTACAGAAGGATACTGAGAATATCATATTAAGAACAAATGAGCAACGAGAATGTTTTAAACTCTGAACTTCACTGGGTTACCTATACTTGTGGTTATTATGTTAAACTTCGTAAATAACAATTATGCCATTATCAGTCAGTTATGTGTCATACGTGATACACGCTTAGGCGATCATGTATCTTTCGATACATGTCTGACGAGGCAGATTTTTTTTTCTCGCAGTCGGTTGCCATTTCTTTCTGCGGTAGACCAGTTGCCAAACGGTCTGTCCTGCTATTTACCCATAACTTGGGGGGGGGAGAAAAATGGATTCATATCTTTCCCAAGAGTATCAGCACGTAAATGAATGTAATGGCTTCGACTGGAATTCGAACTCGGTTCTCCGATTCCTCAGTCCGAGCCGCTGTCCATTAATAAACTCTTTATATCATTATGAAACGCCAATATAAAGCTTCCCGTTTTTTTCCCACGCCGGATGAATAGACTCACTTGTAAATTTAATTAATCACAGTGAAGCTAAAATGAAAATGCTATCAAGAAAAGTCACAAGGAAAATTAATTAAGTATTGAAAATTTGAAAAAAAAATTTAATCATTAATTTGAAATTTCCAACGTTAAGGAAACAGAAAACTCTTTGAAACAAAATATCAATGGCAATATTTTCTTGATTTTCTTTTTTTTTTTAATTTAAAAAATGGATTTGATTAATGTTAGCATTGAGTTACTCCATTGGACAACTTGTTCGCGATAAGTGGCGTTATGCTGATGGCATAAGCCTTCATATTTGATATAAACATGATCATGGATATTACATAATCAGAATTCTTTACCAAGTGTTCTAAGAAGTTAGAATTAATCCTTTCCAAAACAGAAACTAAAATTTGGAATTGGCATAAGATTAGTGATGCCATCTACTCTGAATCCACCCTAAATAATACAGGGAAGCGAAACTGGGTGTACATAGCTCTCCACTACCTACTAACTATTTCTTGATGCTGGAAAAATGATTGATTCATTGTAAGCCTCCACCACCTATTGATCTCTATCTTTACAAGAGCCAGACCGAAAATGTATTGAAAGAGTATTGCTTCTATATCTGCGTTGGGTGTGCCCAGTTTTCACTTGTCTGTCTTGACAGACTTCAAATGCATTTACACTGCCTTGTGGGTGATGAGCTATGTTCCACACTATAATGCCTTTCCTGCAGACAAAACATCACAAGTTTCTCGCAACTCTATTGCTATATCCATGGTACCTGTTCTGATGAGCTACATTCGCTAGTTCCACCAACCCTGACCTTTGCAGCTGGAACCCACCATGCCACGTACTCAAGGAGGAATCTTCCTCGTTCCTTTCGTAGTCCATTAGTAAGAAGTAAGCACCAACCGGAGAGAATCTTCCCAAGAACTACTGCGTTGTTGAACAGACTCCCGACAGGATGCTTTCCCGATCGCTACAATGTTGACCACTTCGAGTCTAGCGTTAACAGTTAACACAGCCACATAAACTTCACTTCTTGCCTTTTCTTACGCTCATACAATTCCACAGAGTACACCTCTAGCTTGATTGGCTCTTGGGCCTTATATTGGAAGAACATTCGCTCAATTAAGAGCCGCACGATATATACGCATGTGTGATCATGTCTCTTTCGATTCATGTCTGACTATGTGTTATGGAGTGGTTTCACAGTGGAGTCTTGTATTTGTACTAAGTCGGTCCTAAAATAGGTTCGACGTACAAAACGTTAGGAACTTGATATAATAGGTAATGACGCAGAGAAATCTAGTTGTGGTCGCTGATACTTTAGTATCCGACTAACGGTCGTCCGCCATCGACTGACTGAGCCACTCCCTGAGCGACTCCCCGTTACTCTTACTACTCCTACTTATTATAGGTGGGAGAGTCTATTAACTATAGAATAGGTGTGTTCCACTATAACACTATGCAGAAGATTTTACCGGAGTAGTTGCCATTTCTTTCTACAACACACTATTTTCAAACTAAGCTATACGACTGTCTGATGTGGGGAATAGATATTGATTCATACTTTTTCTAAGGTATGGGGGCGATTATGTCTGACCAAGTAGAAGATACTCCCGCTGTAGGCTGCCATTTCTTTCTGAAAAAAGCCCTGAGCAACATATGTCCCCCTTGCTAAGCTTTCCGTGTCCCATTCCGTCATCCATTTACACAATCTCGTTATTTACGTGTTCTACTGTCTTTCACTGCTCCTTTTGTCCTCAACGCCACCTGAAACTGTCAACGAGAGATTCTATAAAGTCAAAATATTAACCTTACAACTGAAGCCATGTTCTTAAATAGCCTCGTCAGATAGAGACTCACATATGGATGTAACGAATGGTGACGAGTTCGTTATAAATTTCTAAACAATCATGAGTACAGAACCGTTTATTCAGATCAATGATTAAAAATGGTTTCAAACGAATGAATACTCTAAGTCTTCAACAGGACCTGTAGAGTAATCACAAAGAAGTCTACCAAAATAACAAAAATTACACTACTTGAAGACTTCCAACAGCTGCAACACCAAAAATTAAACGATTTCATCAAAATGATGTTGAATTTCTATACAACCTTTAGCAAAAACTTACAAAGCGATAATAATTAGTGGATGTGAGAATCCATTTTTCCTTGAAATATAAAAGAGATAAACATAATAATTTTTATGCAGCTATTTCCTGAGACTTTTTTTTTTAGTGAGGTTCACCCTGTTCATGACCTGGGAGCCACTCGAAGTAAAGGGTTACAGAGTAAGAGCCATTTTATTCGGATAGAAGAGAAGAAACGGTTAACCCTAGACTTGAACAGGATAAGATTGTAGTAGTCGGAGAAGCAACCTCTTCGGAGTCGGTTCAACATAGCAGTGGTTCGCGGGAAGAAGCTGTTTGAGTGGAAATTACTTCTCACCGATGGCATACGGAGACAATATAAGAGTTTACGCTAAGAGCCATTTTATTCGGATAAGAGAGAAAATAACGGTTAACCCTAGACTTGAACCGGATAAGATTGTAGTGATCGGAGAGGCAACCTCTTCGGAGTCGGTTCCACAGAGCAGTGGTTCGCGGGAAGAAGCTGTTTGAGTAGAACCTACTCCTTATCAAAGGAATACAGAAGGAAAAACCATTAATCCCCGTTTACTTTAAGTATGAAATATAATTCCCGCCTATTTTAAATACATTTTTTTTTCACTCATCATCCCCGTACAACGTAATATATGGACTGCACCAGCTTTACGTTAAACAGATATTTTTATTAAAATTTTTATTATTTAACTCTGAGTGCCTACTCAATACCTGAAGATTGCGTTGTGCATGAAACTCCGCATATATATATATATATATATATATATATGGACTTTGGACTTTGGGGGCTTACAGTACCAGGTGTTCCCAAGCGGTCCCCCATCTAAGTACTGACCTGGCTCTACGATGCTTAACTTCGGTGATCGAACGAGAACCGGTGTTTCAGCGTGATTTAACCGTGGGGGGGTGTAAACGGTAGTGTCAGAGCTATGCCGCCCGGAACTTCGTTCCTGGTATGGCCACCAAGGCGGACAGGTCTGACACACGCCGGCTAACAAGGGCTCTGGTGAAAATCCAAGGAGCGTCTGCATCGGCAACCGGCGGCTTCTGGTCGTTCCTGTCTCTGCGTCTGTGGGAATCCCGCGGCAAGCAAGAACGTTATCCGAATAGGCCTGGGTACCCCTACTTCTGTAATTTATCCCAAGAATCTTCTTCTCATAACAGGAAGAAGCCGGCTCAATCCGCCCAGGGTGAATGCCGCATCAGTATATATATATATATATATATATATATATATATATATATATATATATATATATATATATATATATATATATGTATATGTGTGTATGTGTGTGTGTCTATGAATCCATTCAGAGAAAGCTACATCAGAATCGAACGATTTATTTTTAAATATTTTTGGCATTTCTTACTAAATCCGATTATGTTACTGCAATTAAAAACATTATATATTCAAGTCGATTTTTTTTAATATCCGAGATTGGTGCATCTTGTATCCCGTATGTGTCATGCCCCTTTACGATGTAGATGATACTGGCTTTCCACAGTTGTTGCTCTTAGCAATGTTCCTCTTTTTACTATCTTTACTCACTGTTGTACCATCTAGGACCGGTGTGTACTAACCCCTCTTCCCTACACGGGGCCTGATTGGCGGCACCCAAGACCTGGGTGCCACTCGAGGTAGAGAGTTACAGAGTAAGAGCCAGTTTATACGGATAGGAGAAGAAGATAATGGTTGACGCTAGACTTGAACAGGGTAAGAGTGTAGCGATCGTGGAAACAAACCCTCCGCAATCGTTTCCACAGAGCAGTGTTTCGCGGGAACAAGCTATTCGAGTGAAACTTACTCCTTATCAAAGGAATACAGAGGGAATGAGGGTGATTTGTTGCAATGTGAGTGGCATGGTGAGTCTTAGGCGTGAAGGTTAGAACTGAAGGACCCTAAGGAAGGCAGTTCGTCCGAACACTTTAACGATAGAGCAGCGATAGGATTGCTACACCCCGCCTGTGTGAGAGGAATTGTATGGTGGGAAATAATGAAAATTATTTCAATTTTCTACAAGGGTAAAAAGATTGAGAAAAGCTGCAATAAACACTAGACTGAAAGATAATAGCGAGAAAACGTTACTGAGGAGAAAACATAAAAAAGGATTCAAGGAGATACAAAATTATGACACGGAATTATTTATTACCATCTGTCTCCTTGAACCAAATTCTTTTTATTATCCTTTTCCCCTCCGTAACGTTTTCTCAGTTTCTTTCACACTGTTGACTTTTATTCCCAGTAACCGCTTGCATCTAAATGGCTATTGTCTTGCTTCAGGTGAAATGATTATATATGTATTGTTATGGGACCTTACCCATAATAACATAATGGACTATTCCATACGTAATAAATACTGCGCCTCAAGAGGAAGCAGAGAGTCTAGAGTGAGGTCCGTCAGAAGTCCGTCAGTCAATCAGAACGAGCGAGTCAGTCAGTCGAGTCAGAGGCAGTCCGAAACAGAGTCGCGTTTCAGACAATTACTACAAGACATTGGAATAGTGATACTGGTCGAAACTACATTGTTCTCCCTACTAAACCTGATTGTTCGTACTAACACTTTCTACTTCTCTGTATATATTCCTGTTTGTAATATATCTGTGTTATTCCATATACGTGTTCGAGTTCTTTTTTATTGGTTCTACCTTGGACTATCACAGCTTAGTTGATTCAGTTATGAAAGTTTGTGCGATAATCTTAAGTGACATTTAAGACCCGCTAGTGATTTACAAAGGAGGCCACATATGGAGCAAGTGTGAGGATTGTGAGATGAGATCACTCTTAGATTGGCTGACCTTTTAGATCTTGCTCTCGCTTCTTGAAGATGATTCAGAGAAGCAGATTATATATATATATATATATATATATATATACACGACTTTGCAACAAGTTGTAGTCAGTAAACTCAGTCGACCCAGTACTTTCTGAGCGACTGTTCGGTTGTACTCTCTTCCTACGGACGGGAGGAACCCGAAGGAGGCTCCGCCGAAGGGCGGAGTCGCCTTCGGGGAGGTAAAACCGGCCCTGAACCCGTTTATACGGGTTCAATGGGCATATTTTCGGAATGCCCACGTTAAAAAGGCCTTGTTCCACATGACACTCTCGTGGAGGGGGTGATTGAATATCGTCAGTAAACTGACAATACCAACACGTCTACACGAATCTATGCCAAGTAACTCTCTTTACCTAAAGAGATTAGCAAAACTGCAAGTATATATCTATTTTCGGGACATACAAGCTTGAATTTACTCCAACGTACTGCAATTACTTGAAAATTTTCTTTACTTTCCTCGCGATTCTTTTTATAGTATGACCCGCAAAATTTTAATTTATTTGGAAAAATGGATAGTAGTTGACAATAAATGGTGCTGACCAGGAGAGTGGGGACACGATATCAGAAAAGATATTTTATTATGACAACCTATGTATTATTCTTTGAAATATTTGAACTATCGCCTATATACAACCATTTTCTCAGATGAATGATTAAAAATGGTTTCAAATCAATGAGCCCTGTAGGGCAATGTTTCTCAACTGTTGTTCCCCAAAACCCACGACTAACGCGAATTGTCGCTAGGAATTCCGCGAGAAACGGTGATAAATATTTCTTTATTGATTAATTTTACATTCGTAATTTTCATCTACTAACCCGGATATAAGAGAGTTGTCGGGACCGGAGAAGAAGTCTCTTATATCCGGTTTTCTCTTATATCCCGGTTTGGTCTATTTTATATACATTAACACAGGCTCTAATTTGGGACCAGAGAAAATCTCTCTTATATCCGGGTTTCTCTTATATCCGGGTTTGGTCTATTTTATATACATTAACACAGGCTCTAATTTGGGACCAGAGAAAATCTCTCTTATATCCGGGTTTCTCTTATATCCGGGTCTCTTACATCCGGGTTACACTGTATATGTTTGTCATATTGCTGGAAAGTACTTGGTTATTATAATAAACCTCTGATATTATAATTTTTATTATTATTATTATTTAAGCGTTTCACCCCAAGCAAGGCGAGAAGCCACTAGGACGCAAGGGGTTACAGAAGATTTGGAGCAAGATCAGATAGGAGTGATAGAGGAAAGGATGAGGAGAAGTATAGATCAAGGCAACTGGAGATGTCGATTGACATTACATTTGAATAGTTGGAGATTATAGCTCTCAGGGAAACTGGAATAGGGAAGGGAGTTCCACAGGTGGGAGGTGCAAGATATGAAGCTATTGGAGTAGAAGAGACGGCTATATTTAATAGTTTCGACAGTGAAAGGGTGAGAGCTGGATGCCAGCCTCGTAGGGCGCTTGAATTCATGAAGTCTGGGAACCAGCGAATGCAGCTCTTCGGAGCAATAATCATCGTGAATTATTTTGCGATGTCCATATAGCGGCAAAGTGAAACCGCATTGACTGGTTAGTAGACAGATTCGTGTATCATTGAGTGACTTACGCAATTACAGGACGAGTGTACATATATTATGTATACCACGTGGACTGTGATAAAAAAAAATATAATTCATATAGATATTGATAATGGTTTATAATCATTTTTATGCTGGGGTTTCCTGAAGCATAAAGGGTAAAAACGTTATGAAACGCTGCAATAGACAGCCGAGTGAAAGACAATAGAGAGAAAATGTTACTGAGGAGAAATGACGATAATAAGATAAGAGCTTCTTTCTTTAATAGAAGAAAGATATGATTTTATTGAAATACCTCTTCCTGCATATTACAGGAATTGCGAATAAAAATGAATCGGGCTCATCACTGTCGGTGAAGCACAAGGCCAAAACAAAGATAGAAATATTGTTGTTGCCAATCTTTCAAGTTGGAAGGGCCGATCTGTTGGCAAAACCACCATTCTATGTTTTTTTTGTTTTTCGTGTTTTTTTTTTTTCAACCTAGGCCCGAACACTAACTCTAGTAATATACAACTCGGGCTGATCACTGTCAGTGTGACACAAGGCTAAAACTAAGAGTGAACTGTTGCTGCCAATCTTTGAAGTTGAAACGACCGAACTCTTAGTAAAACCAGCATTCTATGTTGTTTTTTGGGTTTTTTTTTAACCTAGGCCCGAACACTGACTCTAGTAATATACAACTCGGGATGATTGCTGTCAGTGTGTCATAAGGCCCAAACTAAGACAGAATGATTGTAGAAAACTTTTGCAAGAACAAAAAAGAAAAGGACTGTGCATCCATTAGAAGTGAATGAATCCATTCAACCGATCCTATAGACTGGCACTCCAAAATCATAAAGAGCTTTATCAAATAAGAAAAAAACGCATTAGTTGAAGACTTCCAACAGCCGCAACAACAAAAATGGGTAGCACATGTAACTAGAAATAAATAATCGTATAATCATGATGTTGACTTTCCATACAGCCTTAAACAAAAGCAATTGAAGATCACAGAAGTTAAACAACGTCGAGCCTGGTCAGTACCTAGATGAGTGACCGTTTGGATGCTGTAAGCTTGGATGTGCGGGTGATATAATTCTTTGGGATTGTTAATCGGAGAGCTGAGTTCAAATTCCCATTGGATTCGTTATATTCATTTACGGGTAAATACCCTTGGGTAAGGTATGAATTCACCTCTCTCCCTTTCAGATATTTGGTCAATTAATATGACTTGTATCATTAAAACATTATTATCTCCTAAAAAAAATCTTACTATCTAAAAATACTTTCTGGCTTTAAATAACCTGCAAAGGGTTGATAAACCGTAGAAAACGAATGAGTTAAATAAAAAATATTAGGAAGAAAACTGTCGCCAATATAAGAAAACGTGATAACAGTTCTCGGATTTGATAAGTCCAATTTACTGAAAAACTCTTTTAAGAGAATGATTTTATAAATTTCAACCGACCGTAACGCTAACTGTTCGGTCAATGAA